TTGCCCTATTGAAACTTTTTTCAGCGTTGACAATACCAGCATGTTGTTATGTCATTAATGTGGTCATTTCATTACTTATTTTATTTATTTATGAAAAAAATTTACTAAGCCCGCATACAGCGCCATCTCTTATAACCGATACCAAGTTTATTTTGTATACCGCGCCATCTCTGATACCTGGAACGAAGCTCGGCATTGCAGATACAGTAGAACAATGCTGCTCAGGAACTGGAGCTATTTCGAACAGAACTATTCCACTATTCGGATCAGATAGAGTGGTGCAGAAAGAGTAGATCAGATAGAGTAGTGCAGATAGAATAGAACAGATGGAGTAGTGCAGTGCATGCAGTGCAGATAGAGTGAAACAGGGCTGCGCTAGAGATTTTTTTTGTTTTCCTTATATTCTTTGAACATTCCTGTACCTGAGTTTATTTATTTGGTGGTACACTTTACAAGAATAATGCCCACATTGCCCCCAAGCTGCCTAAAAAGGGATGATGTAAAATTTTAATTCTAGGTGACTTCTGATCCAAAGAGTAAACATTAATTTTCTTCAACCAAAGCCAAATTCACCATCGAAAAAAACTGAATTTAATTCAGCTAATAGATACGTTAACAACATTTAATAGGTATATTTAATAATTCCGAGGCGGTACGAAGTTCGCCTGGTCAGCTAGTTTTTTATAAAGAATTGTGGAGAAGACTAAGAGTTTTACTTCTTCATATTTAAGAAGCTCCACTGTGAGAAAAATTGACTATTTTTTCAATATAGGTAATTTTATTTATGAACTCAAAACAGTACATGTTTTTCAGGGGCGTTACTACTTTTCAAATTTTTGTAACTTGTATCACCGAGTTATTCTTCTGACTCTTCAAGTGCAAATTTACAGTACTTCCCTCTGTCCCTATGAAGAAATTTAAATATGATAGACATTGTCAAGTGAATTTTAGATTCGACGTCGGCACACGAGATTCGGCAGGTTAGACCACTGGCCACCCATAAGCGCCCTAAGCGGTGACTCGGCGGAAGTGTTATTTTAACCAATTTTCGGGTTATTTTAACACTAACGCAATTGTTCTTACCAGCGTGATCGAAAATATAATTTTTGTAGTGTAATAGTTATTTAGGTCCATTACAAGTGCGCTTAAGAACATGATTACAATAACGAGTGTAAAAGATTAGAACGTCGAGGTCGTAGACCGAGTCGTTCTAATCACACGAGTTTTGTAGTTATGTTTATCTACAAGCGTTTGGTTATGACGTTTTTACATTTTCCTAGTATTTGAATTATGTCATGAGACTCATAACAAAACAGTGGTGTTATGGACTAGGTTATGAATTCATAACACAACTATTTTTGGTGATTTGACAAATGTCAAAGTTAAATCTGTGAAGGTAAAATGAAGGTAGACAACGACTAATAAACGAAAATAATTGAAAAAACATTCTTATTCTTCGCTTTGTAGATGAAACGTTGTACATCACACGTGCGTTTGAACATGACTATAAAACTCGTGTGATTAGAACGACGAGGTCGTAGACCGCGTCGTTCTAATCTTTCACATTCGGTATTGTAATATAGTGAAATTATTTAAATAGTGTATGCACGTGACCAATGACGTAAGAAATTAAAATTCCTTTCAAGCTGAGGCTCATTCTCCTTTTTATTGAACCTTAGTTAAAAAAAGATAGAATACTGTTGGCATTTAACCGAATCGGCCGATAAAATGACATTTAGGTTGGCACTCATGGGTTATGTTGCCAAATATTGCTGCAAATCTGCGGTTACTGATTTTAATAATTTGAAATTATTTCTATTTGTGTATCTATAAAATGCCAAAGTCATTGAATAGTCAGAGTCAGAAACTCGTTGCGTCTCTAATTAGTTTCTTTGAACGGGAACGAGATAATGGGGGCCCCTTTTTGCCATTAAATAGCATTAGAGAGGTGAAGTATATTAGAGAGTTCTCGTGCCGTCCAAATTTCAAATACCGTAACGCTATTTGACAACTATGACCGTTCTTACGGTATTAGCGTTAGCGAAGCCCGCTATCTAACGGAACTTAGCGGTTGCCTTACCGTATCGCTATGCTATGTCAAAACTGGTTTACGCTCCATTTATGTCTGCAGAAACAGCAACTTCTAATAACTCCTACATAAAAAACACCAAGGGAAAATTAATCAAGCTCGGTAATCTTCAGGATAAATAAAAGTTAGAAAACAAGCAAAAAAAGTTGGGTTAGATCACTCAACTCAGCTGTCAAAATGTAAACTATAAAATACCATGCAAAATACCGTATTGTTAGCGGTACCGTATTAGCGTAGCGTCTGAGGCACGAGAACTTTCTATTAATACTATCAAATATAAATCTTCTGGGGCTTTAATTGGGAATATTTTTCCAGCGTGTTGCAGCTGCACTGAATATTGGTATAACCCACTGTGAGTAAAATTCAATGTTAAATCTCTCAAAAAGTTACGGATAATTTTGCGTAAATTCACCAAAGAAAAACGTCCACATAAGAAGCGGGTTACGAATCAAGATCACCTTGATGTTAGCTCTATTCGCAATCAAATTTACGACGAAAAGTGAGTAGTTTTTTTAATTTGTGTTCATGATACACTATCTATACATATAAAAATCGATGTTTGTTTGCTTTAGTGATAACAAATTTTACTAGACATGGTATGTGAAAGTGAAACGAAAGTTAATAGCGGCAACATTGCGACGTGCTTATGTCATTAATTTTGATTACGTGCATACACTGTTTATTTAATGTCACTATAATGTTCATAAACGCACTTGTAATGTAAAACACTATTAAACGCACGTGTAATGTACAATGTTTTATCTACAAAGCGAATATTAAGAATGCTTTTATAGTTATTTATGTATCAAGGGAATTATGAGGGTGTTAATACCCCAGGGCAAAGTTTGTGTCCCGAGGGACACCAATTGCCCATGGGTATTAACACCTGATAATTCCCGTGATACATAGATAATTTTATTTCCTACTGAATTTACTGTATTTTGTCCATTTTTATAAAGGAATAAATCATAAACCAAAATTTCTATTTTTTGTCAAAGTTTCACCTATTCAAGGTAAAAGCGGGAGTTATGGAAATCCTTAACTCCCTTGGGAGTTATGATATCCTTAACTCCCGCGCGGGAGTTATGAAATCCTTTAACTCCCTTGGGAGTTAAGACCCTGTTAATGATTATCGTAACCAAGGTATTATATGGTTATAATAGTTCAGTAGGAAATAGAATTATTTTCGTTTATTAATAGTTGTCTACCTTCAATCTACCTTCACAGATTTAATTATGACATTTTGTCAAATCACAAAAACTAGTTGTGTTATAGATTCATAACCTATAGTTTATACCACCACTAGTTGTGTTATGAGTCTCATGACATCTCAAATAGTATAAAAATGGTTATGTAAAAACGTCATAACCAAACGCTTGTAGATAATAGTTTTTTACATTAAAAGTGCGTTTATGAACATGATTACAATAACGAGTGTGAAAGATAAGAACGACGAGGTCCTAGACCGAGTCGTTCTAATCACACGAGTTTTGTAGTCATGCTTAAACACAGGATGCAAATTATTCTTATTTTGTGCCAAATTTTCTCCAGGTTTATTAAATTTGTCCCTTTTTTCCAGCTACTACGTGCAAAGAAAAAAAAATAAACCTAATCAAATATTTAAATTGTAAATGGTCATAGTAATTGTGTAGGAGAAGAAGTGCAAAAACGTTACACTGGAAACTTACTCCCTTGGCTACGTGACTGGACTTCTTTTGCCTTTGAACTTGTTGATCTCCCCTCCTGGAGGGTTGCGATAAAGTGCATGTATTTCGTATCGTATTTTTTTTTGGGTCAGATTTTGCCTCTCCTTTTGGGCGATCGATGACAAATATAATTCAGCTTGTGGGATGATATGTTACCCAATTTTTGACCTACTTTCTGATTTTATATAGGCATTTCTTGTGATTTATTGAGAATGTATCGAGAAGTCGAAAATTTCCTTAGACGAAATTGTAACTTGACTGTTACAGCGTTTCAATGTAAGATTGAAAAAGGCCCCTTTTCAAAGAGAAGCTTTAAAAAATCAGCTTTTCTCCTGATTCAATAAATATCCTTTACACGCAAAGACTAACTTACCATTATTGATTCCGACACGTTCTGACCTACAGAAAAATTGAAAATCGATTATAATTTTGCGTGTCCAGGATTGTTACAAAAGTATTGTATATTAATCTTGATACATATATATTTCAAGGTTGTAAAGTTAGCCTATTTGACCGACTACCGACCATGTAATTTAAATTTGCCCTTACAAGACATGCATTAAAATTTCTATGGTAAATTCAATTTCTACGATAAATATTGAAAAGAGAGACGATAATAGGTGTATAGGCACTCGATTCCGGAGAATTTCCTATTTTCCGAGCGGACATTTCCATCCAGAGGATTTCCGACGTAAATCCGATACATACGTCGACGACAAAATGAAATAAACGGTCGTTTAATTGATACTCGTCAGTTGCAGATTTGCGGCAAAATGGTTTAAAAGTGCCAATTTGTCAAATATTTGTCACCGGACGAAATTAACACACCATTTTACGTATAGGAGCGGCTATCTGTCATTCAAATATCCATACCGGTGTTAAACTAGTTAAAATAGATAGATGGTGATGCGGAGGTGATTAATCTGTTTTGAATATAGGAGTGATGTGAAATTGTCAAAAAATCCAGTTGGGATTAGAAAATTGGCATCACCATTATACTTTTTATACTTCCAATGTTAAGACAAAATTATCCATTCTTACTGAAATTAATACACATTGTTCAACTTAAACAAAGCAGGTCTTGTTTGATATATATTTAATGTCACTCCAATTTATAAAATACCCAACCTATAAAAATTTAAATCTTTATAGAAAGGATCACCAGAAAAAAATATCCCTCTAATACGTATTTTCTTTTATTTCAGAGATCTTCAAGGAAACAATATCACTGCCGTTTACGAGTCTGACTTGCAAGATTTGGGAAAGTTGAAGATATTGTAAGTAGTGTATTCTTTAAAAATTATTCAATCAATATTCAAAAATCAAAATTTAACTATCAACTCTACTTCTAGAGCTGTTTTTTTTTGGCATGGACTTCAATTAGCATCTTGATAATTTTTTAATATTTCGTTTATTTATTTTATTTTACATTATTTTCTTTTTATAGGCAACTTTCAGACAACCAAATAAATAAAATAGAGAAGGACTCTTTTCAGGATCTTACAAGTTTAGAAAGATTGTAAGTAATTTTGTGTCGAGTATAGGATGACGATTGCAAGAGTTAAAATTGCGTTACGTAGCCTCATTTGCTCAAATGATAAACCTGTACCATTCACATCTGAATTGTCATTATCCACCTCCGAAAATGTCTCGTACATGAGCGCTTAATATTCGAAACAATCCGATGTGACATTTAAGGTAAATTTTTATTGCCGCACCGCATAACAACGTCATTTAAACCCGTGTTTTATCTTTTCGAGACAAAATGGAGTGTGGGTGCGAAACAACTTTTGAATGGTTTTTTGTTATAAAGAATAAAGGCGCGCATTTTTCAAGTTTTTGTTCTCTTCTCGCTAAAAGAAATGGTGTTCATCCTGTTTCTTTGACAACGGTGGTAGGTGGGATAAGAATTATGTATAGCATGAATAAAAACTAAACATTCAATATACATATAACTATGAGCTTTTAAAACGAAATAGCTTAATAAGTTCTTTCAATACTTCCCCAATGTCTTCCAATTTGAAATCATAGCCTCTTCATCAAGCCACTTGCTATTTTTCTATTTTGTTTGATTGACCGATAAGCTGTAGAAAGACTTGTGTGTCTCTATACCATTAGTATTGGGACCAATCAAGGGCCAGAAATAGACAAAAGTTGAATTTTGATTGTTCAAAATCCAATTTCAAATATCCCTGGCTCTTGATTGGGTTAAATTCGTATCTCAGAACCAATTCAACCAATCAAATCAAATTGAACAAGTTCGATCAAGAACCGGAAATAGGCGTGCAATTTACAGTTTTGCCAGCAGGGTAAATTTGCCAGAGACGTTACAAGTCAGTTCATAATTTGGCTATTATTATTATTCCACTCATGGTCAACAAAATTACCGAGGCAATTACAAAACTTATTGAGGTTTCATTCTTTATAAACTTTTCCGAATACAGGAAATATAAATATAAGAAATTTTTCATGAAATGTATCCTTCACTTCAAATTTGATAATACGCCAATGGAGAAGGTCATTGGCTTATCAGGAAGTGCCATATCTTGAAATATTCATTATTTTTCTAGCACTGACTCTACAAGTATCTAGCCCAGTTACCAAGTACTTCCGGAGTTCCAATATGGGAGTAAATTCAAGCTTTCTAACTTTACATCCATTATTATCAATTTTCCATTTCCTAAAACTCCATGACATCACATCTCCCCAGCCACTTGCTATTTCCTCGACGTTTACCTTGTGCATACAACTCATGACCTAAATAGTCAAGCTGCTGAATGAGGAAAGAGCACTTTGTTAGGTTTAATTTAAAACCTGCCTCCCTGATTTTATCTAGCACTAGCAGTAATATACCCTCCTGAACCGTACGAGATGGAATAAGAAGGTCATCCATGTAGGCCAGCACTTGCTCTTCGTGCATGCTTCCAAGCATTTTTTTCATTGCTCGCTGAAAAGCAGCTGGACTGTTGGCTAACCCAAAAGGTACTCGAAGATATTAATAGGGCCCATCTGGGGTATCAAACGCTGTGTTATGCTTGGATGCAGGATGAATAAGTATAGTCTGGCTAGCCAAACGGCGAACTCAAAAATAATTTGCTGCTATGCCAAACTTGACAGAAACAATAATAAACAAGTTGGTGACATATTTTTTTTTGCAATATGGGCCGTGTAGTATTTTGAAATAGGAAAAAATCCGGCAACATTACGAAATGAAGGAAGCGGAGAGGCGTGATTATTTAGAGGTATGATTCTATTGGTTAGAGCCTGAACGACAGCACCAGTGGCGTGGTTATTCGTGAAACTCAAGAATTTTTTTTTTAATAATTTTTTGGTTTATTCCTTGGTGTTTTCGGTGCCACTGAACCCAAAGACATAGTTGTCATCAGGCGGTGTCAGTTGAGGTGTCAGTGAATATTCTTAGGTCACGTCCCACTTTTCTTCCCCCTTTCGTCTCTACCAAGTTACCACTTGCCAAACTATACCTGATGAAATCCCGCCACAAGGTCCAGTGTTGTATAATAGCATCTCCTAGTCAGCTTGTCCAACTGGTCCTCCACGAATGGCATAGGTTACCTGTCTTTTACAGTAATTTTGTTGAACTCCTGGTAGTCGATACATAGCCTGATGTCGCCATTCTTTTTTTGGGACTATGACCAGTGGACTGGCGTACTCTGACTCGCTCTTCTTTATGATGTCATTAGCCAGTAATCCGTTTATTTTCTCCTGCACTTTAACACGCTCCGATCTGGCCAACCGGTAAGGACGCCTCACTATAGGTTTGTCACTAGACAAATATATTTCCATCTCACTCAAATTGGTAGAACCTACATCATTTTCACCATGCCCTTCGCGATCCCCTGCTCTGTGTTTGGCCCACTAATTGCGATTTGGCGATGATTTTTCCCCCCAGCCATTCTACGTTCTCCTCTCCTAAATTCGTGACAAGGACCTTGGTAGACTCCTTTGTCGCTTTGAAGGTGATTGCTGCAACAACAACAGGATTTCGATCTATTCCAAACATTCTGGCTGGAATCTGAAGCACCTCGCCCTGCTCACGCCGTTCTATGTACACCTCGACAATAGTAATGGTCCTTGGTGCTGCCAAAACAAGTCTATCAACTGTCCCCACGAACCTCCAAGATTAAGTGACCTCCATTTAGTGTCGGTTGCCCTAGAAATAAATCAATATTATGTATGTGTATATCATTTATAACCGCCTCCACTTCAAGTTTACACTGGTCAATTGAAATGGACTGGGACACTTTTTCCAATGCCCTTGTACTTCCACCTCCAAACTCGTGTACTACCACATTGGTGGCTTCAGTAGGTGAAAACAACCGTCGTGCACAGGCACTCGAGAGCACATTGTATTCGCTACCCGTGTCAATATACACAGCCAGCGGTGCACCATCTGCACCCACGGCCCATTTTCTGAGGAACTGTTTTATGTATTAAGCGTATCGTGCGACCTCTTTGATTAGCCTCGGTCCTGCTTCCGCCGCCGCTACGTTCCTGCTGCGCTCGCTTTTTAGGACAGTCCCGCATGGAATGGCCTTCCGCTCTGCAATGGTCGTCTGTTCGCTGCTATGGACAGTCAAGTCCTAGGTGTCCCTGTACTTGACAGTTGGAACAACGGATCTCCGTGATCGTGGATCTGCTTGGTCTTGCTCCCTGTTGAACTTCAGTCGTCCGTGCCTCACTGGTAAGGCTACAATTGTTCCGTGGTGCCTTTACATGTCTACGTGCATCTAAAAATGTTTAGTCCGGTGGCCTGACTCCTTGTGACGGTCACGCCTGTCAACTCCTTGTCTTGACTCTGTGCGGGCATCCAGCTTACAGATGAGGCGATTATGTAGCTTCAGGGGTGTGATGCACTCAAGCACTTCAGCATTGCTCCTCTGGTGACGTGGCAGTCCACCTATAAGTACCTAACACTACAGTACCTATAAGTACTTAACACTGCGGTAGTAGGTGTAAGACTCATCAAGTTGTTTCGACCTCCTTGAAATAGCGTCCAGTTGTTCCCTGTAACCGTACACACGAGAAAATGCCTCCTGCAATCGTTGCTTCCACTCCTGCCAAAAACGCTCTTGCACTCCCTCCCGTCCCAATGTGCCCAAACTAGCGCCTAGCCTCACCACGCACACATGTATAGATCTGCAAAATTTTTCCATCGTCATCCCAGCCATGAGCACGAGCAAACTGCTCCACGACGGCCAGCCACTCATCCACATTACCACAGGTTTCAGTGGAACTCTGTGCATCAGGATCAAAATAAGACAACACCCCTCTTGTCTTTAATGATTCCAATCGCCCCTGTCTTGTGCTGTCTGCTAAATTTCAGCCTCGAGCATCAAGCGACGATTTTCACGCCTACAATAATATTTGTCGTAACTTATGCTCAGACTCACCTGGGGCATGTAGCTAACCAAATATATAGACAAACTATATAGTTTTGGAATCGGGAAATTGTACTCTTCAAGAATATAGAACCAAATATAGGGCATCCCATATCCTGACCTTTCAAATTACAATGTCGAAGTTCGAATTTTCGACATGGAAAAATCTATGGAGCAACAGTTATAACACAGTATGTCGATTTACTAAACTACAATACCTAGCAGCGAGTTTATGAATTAGAAATTTTTTTTGCTGATTTGAAAAATATTGAAATTAAAGTTACATCTGAGGGAGGAGGATACGACTTGAATGGGAAGTATTTAATTAATATTTCAGACCCGCGAAAAAGTAACGACGCCGTCACGAAGCAGTATGCAGATCATCAGATATAGTGCATTTTTAATAGGAATATCTCATGTGTCGTATTGGTGTTTGATTTTCTAATGCAAGTTTTCATAGTCTAATACACATTCTAATGATTTAATGATTTGAAAAAACGTATTTAAAATAATTAATTGAGTATACCCTAATGGTTTACCCCTTTAACAAGGCAACTTATCTGTCTACTGATTTCTACTGATATTTAGACTGGCAATCTACTGACAAAATAAAATATGACCCAGCAACACTGCTCAGAGCCAAGCCAAGTGATCCTAAAATAATACAGGTATACGCACCAACTGCGGACTCGTCGGACCATGATGTGGAGAAATTATATGATAAAGTCAAGGAATTGCTAAAATTGACTAAAAAACATGACGTCAACATAATTATGGGTGACTTCAATGCCAAAATAGGAAAGCGTGAATTTGAAGAGTTAGTTGGATCGTATGGTGTTGGAGAAAGGAACGAGAGGGGGGATGGACTCTTACAATTCTGCCAGGGGCCTGATTCTCGTCTCAGAGAGAGGAGAGTTCCCCAAGAGAACAAATTTTTCGTCTTTATCATTCTCTTTCACTTTTCGATTACGTTGACAAAAACGAAACATTTTAATCTCGGGGAACTCTCCTCTCTCTGAGACGAGAATCGGGCCCCAGGGGGGAAGCATATACACAATGTAGTGCGAAACCAAATAGATTTCATCTTGATCAAACAAAGATTCAGCTCAACCATCAAGAGAACCGTCATATATCCTGGGGCAGATGTGCCTTCTGACCATGTACTATTGGTGGCTGTCATGTCAAAAAAAGCATACCACACAGCGACGGGTGGCGTTAGAAAAATTGAGGGACCCAATAATAAAATTTGAGATGTGTAATGAGATAAACACACGAATAATAACATGGAATATTGGAGAAGAGCCAACACAAGCCTGAACAAAGATAATGGACATTGCAACAAACTCAATGCAAAACAGATTAGGATATAAGAAGGGAAGAGAAGAAAGAGATGTTATGTTATTTTTATTTTCTATTCCAAACTCTTGAATATTCCTTATTCTCTTATTAAGTGAATAAATTTCAATTCAGTTGCTAAAAAACCTCCATCTGCAATATAGTTATTAGATAATCAAATAGGCGTTTAAAGAAAAACTAAAAAAAATAAAAATATTCCATAAAAATTAGCGTACAGACTAAGAAAAAAATTCAATAAAACCCTCCAGAGATTTATATTTCCAATATAAAAATCAGAAACTCATTTTTGTTTCTCTTCAGTTCTAAAACGCGAATTTAAAAATTTCGAGCGATCAAATTTTCATCCCTAAATGGCTACAGACGCAATTTTAACACAACGAAAAGCAATATATTCCGAAAATTCAACTTGTGTGTGTGTGTGTATACGTATACTGAAAAGTGTTTCCTATTTTTCTTTTATAGACGCCTGAATGGAAACAGTCTGAAAAACATTCCCGACAACTTATTTGTTCCCGTTTTTAAATTATTTCGTTTGTAAGTAACATGCAGGCATTTTAATATAAATGTTTAATGTTTGTTTTTTTTTTTCGCAAACCTGCTGCCACACACTATTTCTAAAGCCTTTGTTGTTAACCTGTCTCTCCAGGAATTGAGTCGAAGTAAAATCAATATTTCTATTTGCACAGAGTGATTCTGTTCAAAACAATACCGTTTGGATCTAAAAAAAGTACCTACTTAATTCCTGGAGAATTTATCATCTCATTCTTGTTCACCTCACATGTATTTTTTAGGTGTACTGTTCAATGCGTCTTTTGTCTATCGCCTTTTAATTTTCCAACATAATCCAACTGCTGCAAAGTCAATTTTGGCTTGACTTTCACATTAGTATAGATCAATATTTAGATTGAAAGGGTCCAAAATAACATGGAACCCCTTACCATGAATGTATGCACAAGAACAATTGGTCAACACAGAAACTACATTCAAAATTCCCTCACTGCTTGGGCTACGGGTCGCATATAATTTTCGTTTTTGGCCCTCCGCCCGGTAGTTTGCCCAATTTTAATAATTAATTCTGATTTATCGGCCGCATGCCCTACGGGTAATTGTTGATTATTTATTAATTACGAACGGCATTGTGAAATTTTTAATGGCGAACAACAACAATTCGAAAAGACAAATAGCCGACCCTATAAAATATTACCGACAAAATTATACCAAAGAGCGTAGCATGCACTGGAGTTTGGATTCCGTGTTTTGTATCCAGAATTAATGCATATATGAAAATGGAGGGTTGGCGTTTGTTTAACTGGAAAATTTTAATATTGTTTGGGTCCTAGAGAATTTGTTATATTTGATTTATCCTAGGGATAATGTGGAGTGATCCTGTCCTACTAAAGACAAATTTTTAAACATAATACCAGCCGAGAAGTATATAAAAGTTCTGATTGAAATCCAAACCATTAAGCGGATCAAGAGTGACTGAAATAAGAAACAAAGGAGGAAATATTGTCAGAAATCAACACTTTCTCCCTCTCAAATCAGATCGTCCCGATCTCACACTACCAAGATGCACCAACTTCTCTTCTTCGTCTAGGTATCTCCACTCAGTTCCATAATGATTTGATATCTTCTTTTGCCTAACATTTCTATGTTAAGTTTAACAAACGTTTCTTACGCTAGTTTCCACCACGTCAATATCGTCCGCATAAGCAAGTGTTAGTTGCGAATTCGTTTTTTCGAGTTTGAAGTCCCTTACGACCTTCTCCAAGGCAATATTGAAACAACAACAAGCGTGTCACCTTGCTCCAATCCCGTATTCACCCTGAATACGTCTGACATATCACTCCCAACTTTCATCCTGTATATCTGGAACTTTCTATACAAACTCCTGTTAATGTTAGTCTTATAATCTTATGAGGTATATCCCGAATTCTGCCATTGTCTCGTCTCCCACCCAGATCTTAACTCTTTTCACACTATCATAGGCATGTTAGAAATCTATAAAAAGTTGGTGTATTTGCCTATTGCATTCCCAGCTTCTTTCTAGTAAGGTCGGTTGTTGATCGGTTTGTCCGAAAGCTGCACTGACTGGGTTATTCTCGACAGGATTATATTTGATAGAACTTTGTATGCTACGTTTATGAGCCATATTTATCTTTAATTTTTGTTGCATATCATTCTGTCTAATTTTTTTGTGTAAGAAGATTATTATGCTTTCTTTCCAGTCTTCTGGGATCTTCTCGTTTTTCCAGATGGTTCTTATGAGTTCGTGTAGCTTGTGGTTCCGGCATGTTAAAAGATTTCGGCAGTTATCATGTCTTTATTGTTTTTCAACTTTTTTCGTAGCGTTATCAATTTCATCAGTTGGACTGTTGGCAGGTAGATTTCGCACCCTCGTATCAGTCGTACCCCTTCTTGATTTTTTCTTTATCTATTGAGAACAATAGATTTGGCGATCAATAATAGACAAATTTCTCAACAAGGGACTTTGGTACGACTATACAGGGTCGGCTCTTGTTTTGTTTCAGTCGGCCATGCTACCTATTCTAAAAAAAAAGACAAAATTAGATTACAAATCAATAATTATGCCCTAGAATCATTTTTTTATCAAGCTGTACACATTGCATGTCGTAATGCTCAGCTTCAGAAATACCTCTACCTCTACCTATCAGTCTCTGAAGCAACGTCTGCTTTATCGTTAGAATCCGTATCACTGCTACAATCGTCCGTGGTAGTATATGGTTTTAACTTATCTACGGAGCACACGCTTCGATACTTTTTTTGAGAGCGCCTCAAGCCCTGAAGTTCCTCTACTTGGTATTTATCGTGATCAAGTACTTTGATCACGACATACGGATTGCAGTATTTGGGAAGGAGCTATTGACTTTTGCCTTTGTTGGCAAATCCACTCCTATATACGTAGGAGTACTTGACTGTCTTCCTCTTACACGATAGGATTCCTTCGTTTGGTATCGTAATATGCCTTCTGTTTCGTTTGTGCAGCCACTACTTGTTTTTAAGCATCGTTTCGCATCTCAATTACCTCCTGGCCGTTATGATCGTTTTGCCAGATTTCGTTGGTGAGTAAATGCATCGCCCATTCCTTTGGGTTTCAACCCAAACAGAAGTTCGTGTGGGCTTTTACCCGTAGCGCTCTGCACTGCAGAATTGATTCCGAATCGTATGGAATCGATAGTTTGATCCCACTCCCTCTTGTCATCAGCCGTCGCTGATAGGAAAGCCAGAATCGTACGATTATATCGTTCCCCTTACCCATTGGGTGGTATGAATAAAAACGAAGTACGTGCTGCTACTACTACAAGTATTAGTATATTCTTCGCAGTATTTACTTCACATTTCACAATGAAGCATTTACTAATTTCCGGTAATTGGTAATTTCGAAATGTAGTATCTACTTCGTTTTGGAGTAAATGATACGTAGAACATACTAATACTTGTAGTAGAAGCAAGTACTTCCTTATAATTCATACCACCCATTGGCTCAAGGTTGGCTCGTGGTCTCGCCATTGCGTTAAGTACCACTCTTATACCAAGCTTTTTCACAAATTCTTGGAACATCTTACCATGGTGTAACACGTTCCACGATCGCATATTATTCGCTTGGTGTTCCAAATGTTTTGATAATTTCCTCGCAAAACTTCACTAGACACCATCTTGATGTTTGCAACAGTTTAAATCCAGACATACCTCGTAAATCCATCAACAGCAAGTATCAGGTAACAATTAGGCTTTGAACTTTTCACAAAAGGTTCAAGATGATCTAAATGAATTGTATCCATAGGTATTGGCTCCCTTCTGATCGGATGTCGAAAACTTTCCTGTTTTCCTGTGGGTGTTTTGTTATACAAACATTCCAAACAAGAAGATATGTACCGTTATACATATTTCCGTATTCTTGGACCAACCAAATTAATGTGCGAAATTGAAACTGGAAAATCTACAGGTTGCTGATAGAATGGTAATCGATGAAAGATTCTAAATTGAAATTGAAAGATATCGAAACTGAAAAGGATATTTTTTCATTTTACCTGGCTTTACTTCCAAACTCCACTCAGTTGGCCAGCTCTTTCAGGCAGTTCAAGACCAATGCGAAGGAGTACAAAAGAAACTGTCTTGATTTAACCGGTCGCGGCAAACGAAAAAACCGCAGGTCTCCTTTTTCGAACCACACGAAACGGACGAAGTGTTTTTGGCGAGTAGTATTCACTTATTGAGTCTTTTCTGTAGCTAAGTAACAGTGGCGTATCCAGGGGGGAGTAAAGGGGGCAGTCCATAAAAATATCTCAAATAACAAAAAATATTTTTTTTCTACTCGCATGGGCAAAGTTTATTACTTTGCACACTCTTTCGCGTGCGCAAAATTCAACTTTGTGCACGGAAACTCTGCATACCTACTCGTTGTTATTTCGCATAATTACCGTATTTATACGAGATCAGTGAATTTATACTAGATTTTTCAATGTTTCGTGGGTTTCTGGATAAACAACTAATATTCAAAATGAAGGTCTTGATGTTATTTTTGTTCTAAAAAGGTATTCAGGTAATGTTCAGCTTTTTTAACTTGACACTTTCCGTATGAGGAGCGATGGGAGGAAAAATCCAGTAGAAACAAATGTGAGGTCAGGCGACCATTGGCGTGGGGAGCCAACAACTCACATTCCTTTGGAGTAGGTATCCAATTATAAAAGTTGGACAGTAAGTTATACTTTTCCATAATACTTCCCAACGTTGCGGAAAGAATAAATCGGACACCAATGGACAAAGCTCTATGATAATGCAAGCCAAAATGGATAGGATATTTTGGGAACTGCTGTATGGTTTTTCCAAAGTCAATTAGAACAAGGTGAACATAAATCATAACTGGTGCCTGACTAGTGGCAGTGCATTTCTCATAGAAATTTTCGGTGATCAGTCAGCCACCCTTTCGTACCTTGTTCCAATTGAGTTTGGAAATACTATACTTGTTGCTATGTAAAACTAATTTAAAAAGTCACATGAGAAAATATCATCCTGGTCTCAAAATTTGGCAGGAATAACAAATCTCAAGTAAACCTTGCTAGCACAACCACTGTTGCAAATAAAGTCATGCTGATCACTGAAAGAAAAAAAAATGGAAAACACAACACGTTGAACTAAGAGATAAAATGACCAGTTTTGAAAAACTGGAAACATTTAAGAATATTAGGTACAACTCTCCTGGGGCCCGATTCTCGTCTCAGGGAGTAGAGATCCCCGAGAGAACAAATTTTTCGTCTTTATCATTATTTTTTACTTTTCGATAACGTTGACAAGGACAAAACATTCGTTCTCTCGGGGAGCTCTACTCCCTGGCCCGAGAATCGGCCCTCTGGATGCTATGCAAATCTTCAAATACTTATAGAAAATGTACTGTTCCTAACACTTGCGCATAGTGTCTTTCGCGCACTGAAAGCTTATTCGTCTAACTGCTTTTTCGTGCGGGACATTATCACTTTGCGCACTTGTTAGGAAAACAACCATTTTGTCTTATT